GAAAGATGATCATGGAGGGGTGAAGGTGTAGCTCCAGAACACTTTTAAAAAGGGAAATGCACCCAAATTTCTGAGAAAGTAAAATTGCCTGAAGGGTGGACTTTAAGTCACCAGGTAATTGGAGCAGTTTGTGTAACTTGAGAAGGAAAGAACTATACCAAAGGGGTGGGACATGCCCCCTGTGAATCTACCTTAATTGTAAATTCAGATAATAGAATGATGACCTCGTGGCCAAACAAAACCCATGGGTATTGGAGAACAACAAAGAGAAACGATTGCAAGTGGGACAGTCAAATTAATCTGTGCTGGTATAATAGTTCTGTAGCTGGCCCTTACCATTCCATAGAAAATACAGATCCCAATTGGAATCAACCAGACAATATAAGTAGAACATGGAAGGCCCCTGATGGGCTATATTGGATTTGTGGACAGTGAGTGTACAGTCAGTTACCCCGGAGATGGAAAGGGACCTGTAGGTTAGGAGTTATCCAACCCTTCTCCTGCACCCTGCCCTGGTCCAAGGGAAATCCACTGGAGAAAGCCCCACTTGATAAAGCCAGGGGCAATAGCAAGGCAAACCTAAACCTTTTCATTAGGGGCAGCTTAAAATGGAGTGAAAATGAATGGCACACAGAAAGGATCATAAACTTTTATGATCTGGCTATTTGGGCTCAAAACAGATCTGGGGATATAGAACTCCAAACAATTCCTTATATTGTTTCATAAGACTGCAAAAGGTAATTGAGGTTGGTTGTAACAAAACAGCTACCCAACAGAGCATGCACCTGCCAGTAACAGTCTATCAGAGCAGATTGGCCTTGGACTATCTAATGGCTGAAAAAGGAGGAGTTTGTGAAAAATATAACACATTAAAATGCTGTCTAAAACCAAAAAATAAATATGGAAAAGTGTTGATCAAAGAAGCTAATTGTACCTGTTAAAAGTTAGAAGGCCTTTGGGGAAATCTGGTGGCTTATACTAGCTGGACTCATTATTGGAATTGTTGCCTAGACAATTTTTTATCTCCTGTGTTATGTAAGTGAAAATACCACATATTAAATTTAATCAAAAAGAGAAATGAGGGAATGTGAAAACCTGGATTTTTGGGGATGTAGAAGATGCTGAGATTCAGTCTTTTAATAGAAAGCCTGAATCAATATGATCAAAAGAGAAACTGGGAGAAATTGTGCTAAATGAATATGATTCATGCTAACAATTATAGCTATATTGACATTTTAGAAAATGTTTGTTAAAAAGTAATAGAGGAAGAAGAATGTTATTAGTGTCATGAAACAGATGTTCTCAGATGTTCATGGAAAAATACAATAGAGGATGGAGTATTGAGATAAGCAATATTCTAAAACAGAATCGGCCTTGTGAGGAACAAAACTGGGACAACTCCCAAAGGAAAATTGGTTTTGGGATGGACAAAATTGGGATGATTCCAGATATCTATGAAATTATCAGGCTCATTTTTGGAATATAAGGCTGGCTTCTATAACACAACACTTGGGGCACATGTGCAACCTGTGGGGTTGTTCAAAGGACAGTGAGGATGAGGAGAAGCCTTTGTCAGAAATGACCCGTGAAAAGCCAAAAGACCCCTCAGCAACAGGCAGAACATGCACTGTGCAGTGCAGTGACACAGATTTCAATAATTGAAAACAGGAGAGGATTTACAGGAAATTATTTATGAATATATGTTAGCATACAGTATATAAGTTGTGTTTGGATCCTTTTGCCTTTTGTACGTGAGGCAGGGTGAGAAAAACCCTCCCCGTACGCTGATAGATCGGTTTTGCTTATGCTTTATCCAAACCTCTGCCAAATTATTTTATCTGCTTGATTATATTTGATTGTATTATTTTATATAAAATTGCTGCTCAATTAAAATTGGTGCTAAATTCTAATTTTGTGGTTTATAAAATTCGACATATAGGGACCTCATTCATAACAGTGTAGTCACTTTTGTTTTATTCTCTGTGAGAGGACACAAAGTTGGCAAAGCTTTGGTTAGATTCTGCTCCTCCCTCCTCTCCCTGAAAAAGCCAAGTCTTACAGTGCACTGTGTTGTGGTTTTGGTGCGGGTCAATCACGAGTGCACTCATTTCCTGCTGTGAGATAGGGTTAGGAGAAAGTTAAAGCAGGCTTAAAACTTTACAAGGGTATAAAGAAAATTTTATTAATAGTAACTAAAAGAAAAAAAGTTGCAAGAATTAAAGCAAACCTTTTAAAACATTTCTAAAACTTCTCCTCCTCCCACAACATCTTCTTTTACACTGACAATGTAAAGAAACAAAACCAAAAATTTCCACTTAGTTTACTACCTCTAAAATAGTCTTTCTTCAGTTCATTTAGGGAGAGAAGTCCCTCTTGGTAATGTTATGGAGACATCTCAATGAGAGGAAAGAGTTTTCTCCTGGTTCCTAATTTGGTCAGAAATCGCAGTTGCCGGGGAGAAATTCACCATGAAGTTTCTGTCATTTTCTACATCCTTCCTACAGATCACTGGGCTCTCTCAGGGTCCAGAAGCCACTTTTCCTTTTGGATGGATGGCCTGAAGGCACCCAGGGGCTGCAGGCTGGGACTGCTTCAGAAATCCTTTTGGCTTGGAAGGATCCTTCTACCTGAGAGCTGAATGGGCTGTGCCAACCCCAGAGCGAGAGGGACTCACAGCAACAGAATTAAAGGCTGGTGAGAGAACCCAAAGAATAGACTGTAACATGCAGAGCAGGTGAGAGAGAACCAAAGACTGAAGATGTCTGAAAAGTGGAGTCAAGCTTCCACCAGCTTGAAGATTGTTTAACACTTTGGGCAGGGAGTTTGAACTTTATCATTTATTGATGTAGTTGTCCTGTTTAATAGATGAAAATCACAAGCATCTGTTGAGGGGAAGTACACAGGGAACCATAAGTGGTGTTGGGGCAGTTTCCTTAAGGACCAACAAGCAGAGTGAAACAAGAAATAGAGGGCAAGACCAGGTTGGCCCCTGTGTTCACCGCCGAGAAGATTCCATAGCCCTGCTGTGGGCAGCAATCCCATAGGCATGGCAAGGTGGGGGCAAGAAAGGCACCCCAGACCTCTGTCACTGCTCAGCTGTCTTTTAAAAAAACAGGAACCAGAAGGCAAGACTGAGTTGGCCTCTGTACTCACCAAGATACACCTGCTATGAGTAGCAACCCCATGGGCATGGTAGATGGGGGTAAAAAAGGAACATCAGACCTCAGTGATCCCATTTTGTCCATTCCAAATAGGTGTGGCAAATAAAAGTTGAGATTTTTTTCCTTCTGTTCCCACTCTCCTTGCCCACGTCAACAAATGCTAGTCTAAGTCATTAATTTTTTTCTTGTGAAGAGTTGATTATCTGGATTGAAAATGAGAGTTAATTGTTTGAGCCAAAAGCTCATAGAAATGGAGAAAGGTGGTTTGTCATAGATGAATGATGTAGGTGATGGCTCTCGCAATTGAGAGACAGATATTAGGTGTATGGTAGGAGAAGTTTTGTAGACGAATAGTGCTGTTACTGTAACATGTCCCCCCCTATTCCCCTTTCCCTCCCCCTTGCAGCAGCCTCAGTTCCCAGGGCATTTGGGGAGGGCCGGCTCATTACCAGGAGGGGCCACAGGACAACAGCTGAGCTCCAATCAAGGTGTGAGGAAGTGATCTCCACCTGTGGAGGGCAGAGAAGGAGCTGACTGACAAAACTTTGGGAGGGGTTGAAGGTATAAAAGGCAGAGCATCCATTTTGTAAATGGGCACAGGGCTGCTTGTGTTCCAAAGCACCCCCAGAGCCTTAATTTTTCCATATTTAGTCTGTTGTATTTTTTTTAAGGTTAAAAAAACCTTTAAGATCTTAAAAGTGAGGGTTGTTTCTTACATCTTCCAAGGACAGTCCAGAAGTGTCACCTTCAGGACAGTTTGTGATGATTTCTGGGAGCCCAGGGTGATTTGGATTTCCCATTTGAGCTTGTTGTTGAATGTTAGAAATAACAAATATAGGTATTAGCTTTTGCATTTATGTACTAACTTTTGTTTTGCAAGTCAGTATATGTGAAAAATCACTTGTTTTTAAAACTTTTAAAAGTTTAATCACGATAACATGGTTATAAAAACAGTAATACAATTACAGTAATAACAATTTGGACAATTTGAATTAGAACAATATGACATAACAAACACAAAGACTCAGGCATGACTGGGTACCTTTTTCTGGGCACCACAAGCCTGAAAAAGGAAACCTGTTAACAAAGGATTAACCCTTAAAAACAATCGTGTAACATAGTCATATAACTCATGCATGATGCACAAATTCAATTCAAACACAGGATTCCCTCTGGTCATCTTCAGCTTCTTCCTCCGAATACTGACAGTGCCTTCGAGACGGCAAGAAGTTCATAATGAACAATAAATTCATTTTCTCTGAAAGTTTGAGGTGTCCTGTGGCTGCTATCTCAGTGAAAGTCCTTTCTTTAAAAAAAGAACCTTACATAGCATAGTTTGTATTTAACAATTTTGTCATAACCTAAAATTACATTCAACACAAAACTTAAGAGAACATATGTACATTAAGGCTTTAAAACAAGATATATAATATTACTTTACACCAAGAGAAAGGTAAAACAGACATGTACCAGTGCACATGTATTTAGACCAGTGTAGATACATCTGTCACCTAAAACACACTTGAAAATTACATGGGGCCAGCCACATGCAAGAATTTATCCAATAATAACTTTGTAATTGATAAAGAACAATTTCTTAAAAACAGTATCCTACATATAATGAGGGCAATGCACTCACTGCAGGCAGCATCGGTGCCAGGATGGATTGCAGAGACTTTTCCTTTGCAGCCCCAGCCCAGCGCTGGCACTGGGGATGCAGAGGCACCGAGGTGACCCTGAGAGGAAGTGCAAGGCACAGGGCGCAGCTGAGGAAGGACAGCGCTGTGCTGGGCTCACAGGTGAAGCTGGCACTGCCCAGCGTGGAGAAGGTCCTTTGTGCAGCCCCTGTTACAGGGCAGCTTGGGCCTTGCTGCAGACATACGGCCGCGGATGTGAGCAGTTGTCACTCTTGAATCTCTCATCAGCCAGGTACACGCACTGGGAATTGCCAAGGACAGGAACCCTGCAGGGAGGAGCAGAGGCAGCGCTGGCTGCCAGGGGAAGCCCTTGTGCCCCTGTGCCCCCAGGCCCTGCCCGGCTCCCCGGCACTCACCGGGAGCTGTAGCTGCTGCCGTCCCCCCAGTGCAGGCGCTCGCCCCGTCTGCGCAGCCCGAGCCAGAAATCGCCGTTCCCACGGAGGCGGGAGAGCAAATCCTGCCCAGGAGAGAGGAGTGGGAGCTGCCCCGGACCCTCGGGGGGACACGTGCCCGGGGCTGCCCCCGCACGCCGGGGCTCCTTCCCTGCAAGGCCCCGGCCCAGGGCTGCAGCCCCGGCCCTGCGAGCACCGAGCCCGGCCCAGGAGCGCCCCCAGGCTGCCCTCAGCCACCCCACCCCGCCCGCAGCCCCTCACTCACCATGGCCTCCTCATCCTGGGCAATGGCCAGGGAGGCATTGAGCTCGGAGCACCGTTCCTGACCCTGCTCCCACGTGCTGTAATCACGTGAGAAGTAGTAGCAGACACCCTTGTACCCAACCCAGCCATGGGGACAGACCAGAACCAACTGTGGAGTCGCAGGTGTGACTGGAACCTCTGGTGCTGCAGGGGGAAGAGGAGAAGCTCTGAGGATTCCCCTGTGCAGGGAGCAGGGAGCCCGCTCTGCCCCGAGGGGCTGGGCCCACGCTGCTGCCCCTCCCTTACCTGCCAGCACAGCCAAGGCCGCCCCCAAAGCCAGCACCAGCACCAGGAGCAGCAGAATCAGCACCGCCGTGCACACGGGATGGCACCTGAACCATTCACCTGGAGCAGGAAAGAGCTGCTGGCTGCCAGAAGCAGAGCCGGCCCTGCAATCTGCTCAGCCCACGGCCAGGGAGCAGAGCAGGGAGCCCTGAGGCAGTGTGGGCCTCCCTCAGCTGGCAGCCAGAGAGCCAAGAGCCTGGCCACAGGCAGGGACACAGCTGTGGGCACAGGCAGGGACACAGCTGTGGGCACAGGCTGCAGCAGGAGAACTGCACAGCCTTGGGGGCAGCTGGGGCTCTTGCTTCCAGCCACGCATGGGGCCCAGCAGAGCACGAGGCCTCTTCCAGACATCGGGAAACAGCCACACACCTGCCAGCCCTGGCCTTGGGAGGGGACACGGGCCCCTGCCTAGAGGGCACAGGGGTGGCCCTGTACTCACCCAGGAATCTTCTGAGGTTCCTTCTGTGTTCATTGTTGGTTGCTGCTGCTGTGCCCTGGGGAGCCAGGGGCTCCCTCACACTCCTATCCCTGGTGCAGAATCTGTTTTCCACATCTCCACTCACTGCACGCTCACAAGTGACATCCCCCTGCTTATGCCAAGAGGCTTCTTGGGCCTCAGGCAAGTGTGGTAGCGCGGCTGCTGGTCCCTCCTGGAGATGCTGGGGCTCCTTCTCAGCTCCAGGAATGGAGCAGACTTCGCTCTTCTCCTGCTCACAGGCGCCATCTCTCTGCCTGGAACAAACAGCACCTTGCTCTCGTGACATCAGGAGTGCTGCTGGCAGATCCTTTGGGAGCTGGGCCTCGGGAACAGCTTTGCAGCCGCGCTGATGGCACCCTGAAAGGGACACGGTGAGAGGTCGCTGCTGGTGCCGGCCGTGCGGGGGCTCAGGAGGGCGGTGGCAGCTGTGGCTGCGCTGTCGCCGCTGCCCAGAGGTGCGGCAGCAGGTGCGGAGACAAGCGCAGCCCCCGGCAGCTCTGCGGTGGCCGCAGCCGCGGCCCCTGTGGCTCTGCAGCCGCTGCAGCCCAGCTCCGTGCCGGGCCGGGCGCTGAGAGCGCCTGCGAGCTGCCGGCTGCTGCTGGCCCGGGGCAGCTGCGGCTCGGAGTCCGCCTGCCGAGGGGCGAGAAGCAGCAGCCCCGGGCTGCTCACCGTTGTGCCCCGCATGATTCCCTGCCCCGGCGCCTCGGAGCCCGGGCACAGCGAGCGCCGGCACGGCCGCTGCAGCTTCCTGCCTGTTGGAAAAATTGCCAGGTAATTTTGGCTTTCACATTTATGTCTTAGTCTCTGCATGTTTTAGTGATTGTAACTATTTAGATATAGTATCAATTATACCTCTTTTTAGGTGGATATATCAGCTTAATGCTTATTATGCATTGTATGGCTCATAGAAATAGTCCTGCAATGAATATACCTATGTATCACTTATGGAAATAAACGTGTGCAGACTGTACTGTCTTTTTGACCTTGCCATACATGCGATGTGAAAAAGGCTTTTGTGTAACTAAAATCAGTGTAAGGCCACGTAAGGCCATCCACTGTCCAACCCATCCGATTGTTATAAATTGTAAGAGGATTGGCTCTCGCAATTAAAAGATAACTATTGTATGAAAATAAGAAGAGCTTTAATGGTGTATAGTTATGTTATTGTAGTTTAGATGTCCTCTGCTCTCCCCATAGTTCCCTTTTCCCCTCCTGTATTGCTGCCATCAAACAGCCTGGGGTGTCTAGGACAGATAGAGAGGAGGCTGCACATGTGCCCCTGGCATGGGGCAGGTGGGAATGGAAAAGATTACTGCTAAGGGGGTGGGCGTGGCAACACCTGACCCCCAGTCCAGTTACAGGAAAGCAGTCTGCAGTGATAAATGGCAAAGAAGAGCTGACTGACAGACTTTGGGAGGGGCCAGGGCTGGCTGATGCAACCCCCCCAGGGGTATAAAGCACTGTGCTTCCACCTTGAAGATGAACCGGCCACGTGGTATCCAAGAGGGGGAGTTCCCAGCGCTGCAGCTTTCTCCTTATGTAGTCCTTGGTTTCATTTTTGTTAAGGTTTAATAAACCTTTTTAAATTTTCAAAGTTGTTATGAACAAAAATTTGGTTAATATTTTTTTTTGTGAGAAAAAGTTACAAAAAGGCAGCCAGATCACTGTAGCTGCCGAAGTTCTGCGTGTTTTGTCATTGTAATCACGGGTCGTTGTGGCTAATCGCTCCTTTTGTATTAGCAGAGCCTTGCCCGAGGCTAAATTGTACCTTTCCCAGAATAGTGAAGACACCTGAGAGGGTGAGGGGTGTTATGCAAAGTGACTCCATGACCAGAATGCTGTGTGGGTCCCCCGCTCCGAATGTACTGAGAAAAGCCCCAAAACAACGAGCCAAATAAGAGTTGAGAGACTGGAATGACGTCTGGATGTGAGGAGCGGAGTGCTGGGCCTGCAAAGATGCTGCAAGCCTTCATTGTTCCTCCCCCTGTCTTCGAGAGCCCCCGGGCCAGGTCTGGGAGGAAGCGACACTCAGCCCGAACCAACAACGGAAGGGGATCACCACGCCCTAAGGCTCCGTCCTGAGGTGCGCATTTCCACCTCCTCTGAGTTGCCTTGGGAGACACGACGGGAGACTGCAGCCCTGCCGAGCCGCCCAATCCTGAGCTGATCACTTTTAATAAAGGCATTAAAAAGGAGAAGAAGTCTCCTGGCCCTGTTTATTTCAAAAGTGAGCAGTAGTTTCTCACGCAAGTGATAAGATAACAGGGACACAAAGCAGAGCACCGGAGGACAATCATAGAATACCGTGTTAAAATTAAGGACTACAGCTAAAATTTTATCAGGGGATCTGAAACAGCAGGATGGAGGCACCAGAAGAAATAAAATATATTGACCCGACACCCGGAATGTCATACAGACAAGCCGTAGTGCGAAGAAGTCAGAAAAAGGAGTTCCAGAAACATCAGAAACTTCAAAAGAACGGCTGCATAATGCATGAAAGACATGAACATGCATGTGTCTTAGCGAGGTAACAGCATAATTATAACATTGTATATCCCGGTGTGTTCTTTAGCTGTTTGCTAGAAGCACCCAGCGCTGGAAATATTGTCCTTTTTTATCCGATTACTATAATTAGTATTACTAAACTTTCAAAAACACTTAGCAGTGATTTCTGTTTTCCAACACCAGTGAACGGGGTAAGCCGGCACCAGGAACTCGGCAGAATCCCCCCGGCCCTCACCGCAGCCCCCTCCGCCCGCAGCGAGCCCCGAGCTGGGGCAGCACCGACCGCGGGTCCCACCTGGGCTGGAGCCGCCTCCGAGCTCCGCCGCCGCCGCCTCGCCGGGCTCCGGACGCCGCCGCCGCTCCGGGATGTCACGAACGGGACGCCGCTGTCGCGGCTGCGGTGCGGGCCGGGGTAACGGAGCGGCCGCCTGTGCTCCAGACAGAACTAACAGCTGTTCGCGCGCTTTCGGCCGGGTTGGCCAATCAGCGTTCGGGAGCGCAGCCAATCGCGGCTCGGGAGGGCTGCTCGCACCCGCTGCTCGGAGCCGTCCGCGCCCTTCTCACACCCCAACCCCGGCCCGGCCCCTCAGCGCTCCCCGCTGCCTTCTCGGGATCGGCTCCCTCACCGTTCCGGCGCCTCCCGTCGCTGCCAGCCCGGATTCGGGGATCAGAACCCGAGTCCCTTTGGCCCGGCCGAGCGCAGTGCGAACCCCCTGCGGTGGCGGCAGGCGCGGGGCTGCCCCGCCTCACCCCGAGCCCCGGGCGGGTCCCAGCTCGGCTCTCCCCGCTCGGCTTTGCCCTCGCTGCCGCCGCCGCTTTCCCCGCTCCCGGGGCTCGGCTCTGCCCGGCGGCTCCGCTTGGCCCCGGGCGAACTCACTGCCCCCCGTGGCTCCCCAGCCCTGCGGCGGGGCGAACCCCCGGCATTTGCCGAAGGGCTCTGAGTGCCCCTGGGCACTGAAGCCTCACGGAACGTGTCCTAGAATGCCGTAAACGTGTGCTGAAATGCTTATTTGAAGTTAATCTTGTGTTTTTCGTGAACTCTGATTTCTCCGAGTATTGTTACTGGAGAGATTCAAAGCTGTAAATGCAGTGCCTCATAATTATTATCATGTGCAGCGTAACACAATCTAATTTCTTTAGCAGAAATGCTGATAACATTTACCACATGGTATCAAACTTAATACAATTGCGAGAAGCTCCGGATCTCTTGGACACTTTGCCAAATTCTACTTTGTTGTTTCTTGCAGCAAAATTGTGCTTTAAAAGCTTTAAGTAAATTTCTGATTTCTTAAAATTTGCGGCTACCATGAGTTTTTCTCCATGTTAAATTACATAGGGTCAAAGTATTTGTCACACTTCTCTAATCCCTCCATCAGGCCATTATTTCAGCCACTCTTGGTTCACATTTTCAGTGCCTTTTGGTATTAATAGCATCAGACTAAGTTACATTTTGTAGAACCCCGAACTTTGAATTATTAGTTTGTTTAATTATTAGATTAATAATTAAACTCGGAGGAGGTTGTGGGCAACGGCACTATTAGTTTGTTTAATTATTAGATTGTTACTTCAATTGTGTTTTATTTGAATATGATTTTAGTGTTGTTAAGATTAAGCAAGGTCAGATCGGAGTAATGTTACCTTTATTGCTCTATTGAGGTAATTTTTTTAAGAGTTATTTATGTCAAGGTGGATTTCTGTCAGGTTTGAGTGTTGCTGAGTTTGGAGGAAATAACGTTTCATTCTCCTTCACTTTAAGCCATTTCATGTTCTATCCAAGTTCTGTTAAGATCAATTTTTATTCAGTATTAAAGATGTTACCTTTAAGTTCTCTTAAGTGTACCTCTAATTCTATTGATGTGACACTGAATTACTCTGCAATTGATTTTAAGTCCCAAGTTAATTTTGCTTAAATATGTTTGCTTGCATTGCAAGATGTGGTTCTTTCCTTCTAGAGATAAGACAGATCCCACTAAAACTGCTGTGATGAAACACTGATAAACACCTGCTTTTGGATAGAAGAAGATACAGTTTGTTGGGCCCTTGATCCTCTCACAGATTGCACAGGTGTCAGTGCTGCACTGCCTGACAGGATCATTGATTGTGATCTCTTCTGCTTTATCTCCCACAGATAACACAGGAGAGTGGGTGGTTGTTCTACATTATGGCTGTTATCCATTGTAAGCTGTTCAGTGTTTCATTGTATGGATACAGGAATGCTGGAAGAATATTGTCTCCAATTCCTGAGACAGCCACTGCTGATAGATTGGTTCCATCATGTGAATTCACTCATTTTTATAACAGGCATTATTCCTAAGACACCATTACGTTATTTATAGCTGCTTTTCATGAACTTTGACATATCTCTGTGTGACTATCTACAAGACACGGTGTCACTTTGGGCTCTCTCTGTTTTGCTCTCCAGCTGCAGGTGCATCTCTTTGAACAGGCTGTCTGCAGCCGTTCCCTGCACTGCCTGCTCAGCCTTTAGT